TATATATATATATATATATATATAAACTTATGTTCTTCTTCTTATTTATGTGAAACAGTTATAAATCCATACCATGGTTGCAACTTGTAAGCGGGTCATAACAGACATATTTGTACAAATACGTATGGTTCAACAAATTTACGTGCAACAAACAGATCAGTATGCTATCAAAATAATTATCAATCCCAAATATTACAATTATGCAAGTGTGTTCAGGGTGTAAGATGTAAATTATGCAAATAAATTTCAACTACAGCTTCAGATATATTTTCAGCGATAAATAACCCTTGGTGAATATTCAAGTGCAGTATCAAAACCAAATAATCACTTGCATAAACAAATACCACGCCTCAGTTGTTTGAATTTGTTTCTTCTAATAACTTCGGAATTTTAAAAAATATTTTAACGATGATAAAAATAATTTTGTTTAAAAATAAAGTATCCATACTTTAAAAAAAATCAAGAATCACACAAAAATCAAGTCTCACTTTATGTGATTCTTGATTTTTTTTATTATATAAAATATATGAATTAATAGTCGAAGACTAGTTTTTTAAAAACATAAAAAGTAAGTTGTTTCTTTTAACAATTTTTTTTAATATATAACCAGAATATTAATCAATCATGTTTAAAAAACTCAGTTATCTATCTATTAAACTGTTTTTGAAAATTTTGTTCACGGGTTATTTTTATTTTTATTTTTTTCATAAACATGATCCATACAATCTTAAAATTAATAATCAAAGACTAATTTATTCTTATGACGTGTGAACTCTCTATGATAACATTATTTTAACATTAACAAAAAATTGATTAGGATATTTTTAACAAGAGTTTTAACTAATCTTATAAAATCTTTTCATAAGATAAAATAATGATTATGCTATAAACTATTATATTTCCAAAACTATTATATTAAACTTATTCTTATAATGTGGTGATAAATGATTAATTTCAAGTGGTATAAAGTTTGGGTAACACAAGGCAATATTCTAGTTTAGATGAAAGGAAATAATCATTACTTAATGAAAAAAGATGTCATGTTACAAAGTTCAGGGAATCAACATTTGGAAACAAGCAAATGCAAAACAAAAGCATGAGAAGAAACGAAGGCAGAGAAACACATCCATCCCAATTCCAATAAAAAACACAATGGGGGAGTTAAGCTAAGCTCTAATAATCCGTGACAGGGAGCTGTTCATAAGTGTTTGGGGTAATGAAGAAAATCTCGTAGACAAGAGCAGCAATAGCAGAACCAATGAATGGGCCGGCCCAATAAACCCAGTGGTTATCCCAGGTCCAACTCACGACAGCAGGCCCAAAAGACACTGCAGGGTTCATGGAAGCACCGTCAAATGCACCACCGGCCAAGATGTTAGCACCCACAATGAAACCAATTGCAATGGGAGCAATTATGCCAACCTCACCCTTCTTTGGATCCACTGCAGTTGCATACACCGTGTACACCAAACCAAAAGTCATCACAATCTCAAACACTAGAGCGTTCGCTGCTCCCACCCCAGAAGACAGTGCAAATGCACATGTTTCCTACAAACACACAAATACTTCAAATTCAACACTAAAATGGAAAAGCCAATTAAGAATGATCTTGAGCAGTAGGAGTAAATTATAAGAAATTATTAGGTGATTCTTTCTGACTAGTTTCTACGTGACATGTAGCTAGTGATATATTTATACCAATCCACCAGTGGCAAATTTAAGGAGCAAGCAAGCAACGACAGAGCCGAGCAACTGAGCAATCCAGTACAATATGCTTCTAAAAAGAGTAATGTGGCCACCAACAAAGGCACCAAATGTCACAGCAGGGTTCACATGACCACCAGATATGTTTGCACCAACAGACACAGCAACAAAAAGAGCAAAGGCATGTGACAGTGATGCTGCCACCAACCCTGCTGCTGTCGCTGAACCATTGTTTGTCAACTTATCTGCCAAACCATAACACAATTTATTAGTGAACCAGATATCTTCTATGGAACAATATTCACTTGAGAAACTTATCGTAAACAAATAGTTCTTCATATACATATACTAGGAATCAAATTTTAAACACATATTTAAGGAACAAAGTTGTCTCTTAGTGTTAGTATTATTAAATGCATGTCATATTCAAACCAACACAATGTTTAATAACTAAATAGAAAAAGGCTTACTATAAGCCATGCCAGAGCCTTCTCCAGCAAAGACAAAGATGAGCATTGAGATGAACTCAGCAAGGGCAGCCTTAAGGGCATCAGCTTGGCTCAACTCCGTAGAATTTCCAATGGCAATTTTAGAAATCGGCATTTTCTTCTTCTTACTACAAGATTGTTTCGAGTTTTTAGAATAGAATAGAAGAGAATGCCTCAACTTATTTGTTGGTGTGAAATGTTTAGTGGTTACGGATGTTATATAGCACTACACAACACTAGATTGATGACACGAGGGACAGAGCCAGAAAAGGTAACGAAGAAAATTCAAACTCTTTGCCACCTGTCTATTGCTTAGGGTGGCCAAGGGCGAGCCTCCGAATCGTTCCTGTGTTGCCACGTGTACAACATGATGTGGACTAATCACGGATCACCGACCAATTGCATTTCCATGGTGCAGTGGTGGGTCCTTCAATCAATGTCCTACCTTTTGGACCCAACCTACCCTTTGAATTTTTACTGGGCGGTGATGTGGACCGGCCCAATAATGTTGGATTCATTATTACTGTTACTCCCACGCAACCTTACTTTTGCACAGAAATTATTAACTCATTTTACATCATGTCTCTAATTAATCTCTATATCCAATTAACTATCATTAATTTTTTCATTTAACAAACTTAAAACATGTTACCTACAGATTAGTTAGAATTGTGAATTTTTTTAGTAGTATTTAATTACCTAATATTTTCTTCCACTAATCACCTGGTACATAACATGTTTTTGCGAAGAAAGTTTCATCTGTAATGGACTTATCTTAATTCTCCCCCTAAGGTAATAGTTGGCTTTATTGTCTTTTATTAGTGTCTCAAATATAGTTAATAGTTAGATGCATATATATATTCTAAAGTTTGTCATTGGCTACAATCATTGCATGTTTTAAAGAAAAACTAAATGATTCAAATACTAATTAGGCCTAATAAATAATGATCCCAATAAAGATGAAAGGTAGGACCTGGCCCACGAAATGATTGGCTCTTATTGGTTGTGATGTTGGAGGGGTGCCATGCCAGCTTCATAGCAGTGTGATCACAAAATTGTTAACCGTGAAGAATCACCATGCGAGGGAGTCTTAGGGTTTAAGTGTGAAAGAGTTTTACATTTGTGAGAAAAATCAACTTATATAATGTCTTAAGATTTAGGATTATGATGTGATGGAAATTTACTTGTGTGATTTATTTATTATCTATTAGTGAAGTGTTTCCTGATGTTTAACTTTTTTATATAATAGTTGGTATTAAAGTTAATGATTTGCTAAATAACTAGCTCCAATGAATATTAACTTGATAGAATTGACAATAAATCTAAGAGTAAGATCTTGAATAATGGAATTGGCAAAAGATTTAATAATGGGATCATACCTTGTATTGAAGTCTCTCTAGAAGTGTGAAAGATATATTCTATTGATGTGCAATGACCCTACAAATATAAGTAGGCTACCATTGAATATTTTCATGAATGCAAAAAAAAACTTTCTCTTGAAGAAGAGTTTAATCATGTGGAAGAGACACATTTGAGAGAAATACTAGAATTCAAGTGTGAAGTTAGTTTCACATCAGTTAAAATTTAATATATTTAATAGTATATAAATGAGAAAAACACACATATCTAATACTTTAAGATTCTAAGTTATGAGGTAGTATCAAATTCACTTGTATAATTTATTCATTACAAAATATTCCCTAATATTTATCCTCGTGATCCATTAAAGTGAAGTCCACGTGAACGTAATTCCAAGGATGAAGATTATTAATTAATTCTTTAAAGCGTTGTTCATGAAGAAGGGAATATGGAGCCCTGCACTGTAAAATTGTCATGTTTACTTTGTTGAGAAAGGTCAATTTAATTATTTTATGTCTGAAAGGTATTAGCCACATTTTTTTTCCTGTCACATATTTCCTCGTAGTATTGTGATATTGTTTACCCAATTTTTTTTTTTTTTTTTTTTTTTTGCCGAGAATTAAACACGGGATTTCCTGTTAAATATTCTCCTTTTTTTTTAATATTCTCTTTGTTGTTAATTAAATTTATTAAAAATTACATTTTTTTTTATCAATTACAAAATTAGGAGATACCCATTGACGTCAAATAAGGATAATAGTTGTTACGAAGTCCTAATACTAAAATTTTCAGTAGTCTTCTTTTCTGCAGATCAGACAAACAGCACAAGCATTTCTATTTTCAGAAGTGTTGAATGATTTGTTAGTTAATTGAGAATTGAGTAGGTAATGTTGTGAAAAGGAGAGCCTGAGTTGATTCGACTTGAATTCTTAAGCATCTGTCATCGGCTGTAATTAACTAATGGTGTATGAAGTGGTCATTTGATTTGCTTAAAATAATAATAATAAACTGCCCTAGCTTATCAAGTCAATCTGAGCCCCTAATATAATCAACAATTGCTACTCGTCTGTACTAGTCCATCAATATGATGCATCAGGAGCCACTAGTATTTTCAAATATTAATGTCCAATTGCCACCCCCGTACACCATTTCAATTATCATCATTTTTAAGCTTATCTCTTTCATTCTTTGTTTATTATGGACGGCTTAAGGGACGAAAACTTTAAATCAAGAAGGTCGCATCTTCTTTTGTTTATTTTTTTTTCTTTTGTTCTTCTGATCTTCAATACTGAGAGTACCACTAATAAAGGACTAAATTACTTGTCTAGTGTTAAAAGATATTAAGTTGTGATATTGTAAATGGTTTTGGGTGTTTATCCATGCTTTTTCATTCCTACTTAAGAGGAATCAATCATCTCAAGTTTTTTTTATGTAATTAATATTAGGCTAAAAACCTATTTTAGTCTCTTATAATAATTGTTTGTTTCAATTTAGTCTCATTTTTATTTTTTGTCTCAATTTGGTCCCTAATAAATTAATTGGTTGCAATGTCGGACTTACGGAAAATTATTTAGACGGAGTTAATTGTTGGCCACGTGGATACTACGTGGATGTCACGTGGAAGCCACGTGGATGTCAAATTTTTTGTCATGCATCTAGAACCAGAACGGCCCGTTCTGAAACTGGAATGACTCGTTCTGGTTTCACTCTTCGTGCATTAATTTTGCATCCGGAACGGCCCGTTTCGAATGCAAAATTAACGTAGGAAAAGTTAAACCAGAACGGGCTGTTCTGGTTCTAGAATGTCACACATACAATTAATGATTATATCCACAAATTTTAGATCGTGATAACAATACTTATTCATATATTTGCAATATTAAAAATTTTATATATAATTATTTTAAGTATAAATATATGTTATAGTTATTTTTTATAAGTTTTTATATCTACAATTATGATTAAGGATGAAAATAAATTATGTCAGATTATGTTATATTATAATTTAACAGATTTAAACCTAATTTTTGTTAAAAATACTTGTTATAAATATTATATATTTATCTGTCATAGACATTTTTTTAAAATGTTTGGTTACATAACAATCTTAAAAACTTACTTAATAATATTTTCACTAATAAAAACATATAAATAAATATGTTAAATCTTATAAAAATTAAGTTTAATTTATTTATCATATAAAGATGTTTTTAATATGTGATATAAATTTTTACAAGGCTTAAATATGCTTTTAGTCCCTCAAATTTAGGGTAAATCTATTTTTGATCCCTCAAATTTAAAATTATTATTTTTAGTCCCTGTAATTTAAAAAAATCTTAATTTAGTCCTTATATTCAAATTTTGTTAAGAAATTTATCAAACATTATTGCATAAAATTTACCTATTGGTGTTCCTATTAGTGAAAATATCACATTAAATCCGGTTGATATTACATAACTGTCTTAATTAGTCACTTTCAAATATGTTATTGGTGACCTAAGAGATTAAAACAAGATTTTTAAAAATTACAAGGACTAAAAACAACAGTTTTAAATTTGAGGAACCAAAAATAAATTTATCTTAAATTTGAGGGACTAAAAACATATTTAAGCCTTTTTACAATTTTAATTTTTTTTATCAACATAAACAATAAATAGAAAGTACAAAAGTTTGACAAATATCAAATAAATGAATAACTCCTCGAAATTTATATTTTATACATACGATAATTTAAATATATATATATATATATTATAATATAATTTTTAATTTTTAAAATATATTATTTTTTAGATAAAAAAAATTGTGTATGTGTAAATGGTTTACTTTCGATTTTTGAACTACACTTGTGCACTATGTTGGTTGGCGTTCTAGAACGGCCCGTTCTGATTACAGAACGGCCCGTTTTAGATTCCAGAACGGCCCGTTCTGCTGCACGCGTTAGGATTAAATAATGCATCTGGAAAAGGGCGTTCCAGATGCAAAATTTACACACCATGAGTGCAACCGGAACGGGCCGTTCCGGTTTCAGAACGGGCTGTTCCGGTTTCAGATGCATGACAAAATTTGACATCCACGTGGCATGTATGTAGCTTTCACATGGCATCTACGTAACTTTCACATGGCATCCACGTGGTCAATAGTTAACTCCGTCTAAATAATTTGGACAAAAGTCCAACATTGCAACCAATTAATTTATTAGGGACCAAATTGAGACCAAAAATAAAAGTGGGACTAAATTGAAACAAACAATTATTATAAGGGACTAAAATACTATTTTAGCCTTAATATTACTTTCTGCTTTCATTTAAAAAATGAATTATTATTGTTCTCACTCAAAAATATTTGATTCATAATATGTATTTTACGTTCATATTAATATCCAATAAAAAAATACCAAATCTAATAAAAACCTTTTTTTTATATTTTAATCTCCTATAAAGAGAAATAAAGCCAAATGCAAATACTTTTCAATTTTTCTACTCCTTTAATAAGATTTAAACTATCTTAAAAGTTAAATTTTAACTAAAAATATTAAAACGGACCAAACTTCTTGATGCTTTATTAGTTGTTGGGTGCTAATTGAAGAAATATATATTTTTATTTTTACATTTTTTTCATATTCTTTTCAAGTTTATGAGCTAGTGCACACCAACATAATTTCCAGTTGCGAACTAGCGTAGAGCAACAATGCTCATAAGCCATGATATATACACCTTTTATTTTATAAATACACTTACTTTCTCTTGTTTTAAAAAAAAACCTTCTTAAATTACCCTTAATCTTTTTTTTTTCCTAATCTTTTTAATTTTACAATCTTAACACTCAATTTAATACTTTCTTTCTTTTCTACATATCTTCTTTCATCTCTTTTTCAATTTTCAAGCACCCTTTCCTCTTCTCTCACCATCACCAATTTCAATAGATAATTTTAAATTCTCCCGATTTTCACAATTCATTCTTCCACCTTTCAACTTTCACACTATTACCCTCTTTCACGGTTTCCCCTCTTTCAGATTTTAATTTTTTTTAGATAGTGTGTATGATTATGCTGTTCTGACCTCAAAACTTCACTACAAGCTCGGTGTGTTACTAACTGTTCCAGTCTTTATAACTACATATTGCTAACCATAAAATGATTAGCAAAAATAGTACATGATTAACATAATTATTTACTCTTAAATTAGCAATTTGGCATTATTAGTATTGCTAAAATAAAACCCCAAGTTCACATCAATTATCAAATTAAATTAATCATACAGTGAATTCATTGATTCAGAACTGCTTAGTATGAATTTTCAATCACATTAGTAAACAATCAAAATGAAAATAGGATCATGGAGTGTATACAACATCTCTCTTCATTTATTACAATTTGTAAAACTGAAACAAGCAAAGCTCTCTTCACACATCTAATACAATGTGCAAAGTCAATGCAAATCTTCCATTCCAAAGTCACCTGGAAAAATAGGAACAGCATAAACCTTCCATGCCAACTACTTGGTGAAATTTTCAGAATAGAATGCTCATCATATGCACTCTTGACATAAATTGGTTTCAGATAAATGACAATATATTACTATAAGCTGCTGAGAAGCAAACTCTAGAAAGCCAAGAAAAACATGATTAACACAACTATTTTCATTTATGTTAGCAATTTTTAGCATCATTGCAAAAGCAGACCTCCAAGTCCCCATAAATTATCATATTGAAGTAATCATAAAGTGAATCCATTCATTCCAAACTGCTCAGTATGAATTCTTCATGCACATTCAAGTAAACAACCAAAATGGAAATAGGAACATCGACAGAGTGCAAACAACATCTCTCTTCTATTACAATTTGTAAAACTAAAACAAGCAAAGCACTATCAACACATAATACAATGTGCAAAGCCAGAGCAAATCTTCCATTCTGAAGTTATCAAGAAAAATACAAAAAGAGCATAACATCCTATTAATAGAATCTAGAAATTTGTACAGATGGATATGATCCAGAGCTAACTAGATAAACAATTGTTAAACTTTCAGACGAAAGATTCATTCACCAAAGTCATTTAAGTAAAAAATAAGATGAAAAGCATTTGGAGATAATTATTACTCATGCAAAATTAATCATATTGTAGTAGTAAAATGATATCATCATCTGATAATTTAAAACATAAAACACTTCATGATCTCTGAAACCAAAACAATATCATACTTTGATATCCAAGTGAAAGAGATATCAGAGTTAACAACAACTGAACAAGTCTACCATGTATTAACTAATTAACATCCATCAACTCGAGAATTGATGCACGTCCATAATATAAGATTTGAATGACAATCACGTTCACGTGTAAGTTCCATCACACTTTCAGTACATCATTAAGATGACATCAATTAAACCTATAAAGAAATGGGACAAAGAAAGACATGGAAAATGAACTTGGGAGAGTTTTGAATTGCAACCATGGTCAATAATGAAGTTTCGAATGATATGACAACATTTGCTCTCATCTCAAATCCACCATGTCCATTGAACAAATACCATGCATGACAACGTGGAGCAACTTATCAACATTTTCAACTATTGATCCTATTTTGGCACCAAAATTCATGAATAGTTCCACCCTACTGATTGCTCAGGAAAAAAAAAATTAAAAAACTAGAATGTCGGAATTCCGACACACGAAAAACCGGCTAAAGTGTCAAAATCAAATTTATGCAATGCACTACACTCAAATAAATTTCAATTTACAATAATCGGACAGAAAAAGACGTTCATATGAAAGAGTACCAAAAATGCGTGAGATAAAAACTAGGGTTTGGTGAGCAGAGCTTTACCTCTTGTGCGCCTGGACGAACTTTGAGTTTTTGGCATCCTCCTCTGCGAAAAACGAAGCGACAGGAAATCAGATTCAGAAGAAAAATCAAAGTTCAGAAACAATAATAAAAAATAAAAAATTGGATGCGAGAGAAGAAGGAGGTGGATTTACCAGAGAGACCGAGAGAAAATTTGGTGATTATGGTTCCGGTGATGGCGAATCCAACCAAGAAGGGCCAGTTCCGCTTCCATTCTCGCTTGAAAAAGACAGGCCATGGATCGAATAGACGCATTTTTTGTGCACTCTCTGCTACTCACTCTCACCCTCAACCTCAACCTCTACCTCTCCACTCAACAACCAGATCTAATACCAGTCTCACCCTCAAACCCAATGCAAATGGGCTATCAAGGCCCAACCCAAACTTACCAATCGACCCAACCCAAAGTACCCTCATCTCAATTAAACTTTTCGACCCAGCCTAACTCGATTTTATAATCCCATAATTATATTGAAACTTTCAATTATTTAATTTTTATGCAGTACTATTATTTGCACGTGTTTCATCAATATAATGTATATTAAGAGTTGGACAATGTGAAATGCGTTAAAATTGAAGAAGGTAGTGTCTTAGTTATGGAACAAGATACTACCAAACATTTTTTTTTTAAAAGTTACGTTCTTAAGTTAATGAAAGTCGTAAATTTTTTTCACTCTAATAGGACCAAAATTATACCTATATCCTATATTTTAACTAGGAGTTTGAGGGGAAAAAACGATGAAAACGATTAATAATGACAAAAAGAAAAGTTAGATATGAGAAGTCCACGGAAAAAAGAAGATATTATTCGACTCATGGGGTTGTTCAACGAAATTGTTATGAGGTCTAAGATGTTACCTGGGTTAACAAAGAAGCGCTTCAAGCATTACCTATAAGAGAAAAGTAAATATATAAAACTCTGAATTTTTTTTTGTTTTTTTGTTTTTTTATAGATTATGCTCTCTGGCTTTATTGTGAAGTAGTCATGGGAATAATGGAGTATATATAGATTAAAACAACGCTCACTTTATAGAAAAATAATTGGGTTTAATGGTAAAGTTAAGCAAAGAAGCAATATACTTGCTACAATGATTAGTGAAGTAATATTAGAGGAACTAAAAAGACTCACATATCTTCTAATTGTTTTGGAAAATATGTGATAGAACTAGAAGCGTGTGATGTTTACATTCTCAAAATTTTGATTATAAGGCAAGTCACAAGTATCTCATGTCTAGAGCTGTCAAAACGAGCTACTCGGCCCGGCCCGGCCCACCAGGGGTTGGTTATTTGGTGGGCCAACCCAACCCGGCTCACTTATCAGTGAGCTCAAAAAAATCGAGTCCGGCCTGGCCTACCACGGGTTGATGGGTTAAACGGGTTGGCTCACCTTAAAAAAAAATAATTTTTTTCATTTTTTTTTCTTAATATACAACTAAAGCCCAAAAATTTAAACTTATTTTAAAAATCCGAGATTCTTAATTAAGACATCCTTAAATGAATTATTCATCCCAAATATTAAATGATAATTTTAAATACAATCAAATCAAATCTAAATAATCTCAAATAGATAAATATAATCCAAAATTATCTTAAACTTCAAATACAATCCAAAATCACAAAAATTACAAATTACAATCTAACATTAAATAATTATTATTGTCTCATGTTGGACTGCACCATGACCCAATAATTATTGTATTTTTTCAAAAAAAAATTTAATCACGGGTTGGTGGGCCAGCCCGGCTCACCACGGGTTCAACCCGG